TTCCTCTCCTTCCTTCCCTCCCTACTCCCTTATCTCTTCCTCTCCTCTCTCCTTCTCCCTCTTTTACTCCCCTTCCTCCTCTCCCTCCTACTCCCTATCCCCCCTTCCATCCTCTCCTGTTCCCTTCCCCGTCTCCTTCCTTCCTCTCCCTTCTCCCTCTTTTACTCCCCTTCCTATCCCTCTTCTCCCTCTTTTCTCCTTTCCTTCCTCTTCCTTTCTCCCTCTTTTTACTCCCCCTTCCTTCCTCTCCCTCCTACTCCCTATCTCCCCCTTCCTTCCTCTCCTTCCCTTTACTCCCTATCTCTTCCTCTCTTTTCCTTCTCCCTCTTACTCCCTTCCTCCCTCTCCCTCCTACTCCCTATCTCCCCCTTCCTTCCTCTCCTTCTCCCTCCTTCCCTATCTCCCCCTTCTCTCTCTCCCTCTTTTACCCCCTCCTCCCTCTCCCCTCCTACTCCCTATCTCCCCCTTCCTTCCTCTCCTTCTCCCTCCTACTCCCTATCTCCTCCTTTCTTCCTCTCCTTCTCCCTCTTTTACTCCCCTTCCTCCCTCTTCCCTCCTACTCCCTATCTCCCCCTTCCTTCCTCTCCTTCTCCCTCTTACTTCCCTATCTCTCCTTCTCCCCCTTTACTCCTCCTTCTCCCTCTCTCTATTCCCTCCTACTCCCTTTCTCCCCCTTCCTTCCTCTCCTTCTCCCTCTTACTCCCTATCTCCCTCTTACTCCCCTTTCCTTCCTCTCCTTCTCCCTCTTTTACTCCCCCTTCCTTCCTCTCCCTCCTACTCCCTATCTCCCCCTTCCTTTCTCCCTCTTACTCCCTATGCCCCCCTTCTTTACTCCCCCCTTCCTCCCCCTCCTCCCTCTCCTTTTCCCCTTCCTTCCTCTCCTTCTCCCTCTTTTACTCCCTTCCTTCCTCTCTTTCTCCCTCTTTTACTCCCCCTTCCTTCCTCTCCTCTCCCTCTTTCTCCTTTCCTTCTCCTTCTCCCTCTTTTACTCCCCCTTCCTCCCTCTCCTCCCCCTTTCCTTCCTTCCTTCCCCTCATTACTCCCCTCCTCCCTCTCCCCCTTCCTTCCCTTCTCCCTCTTTACTCCCCCTTCCTTCCTCTCCTTCTCCCTCTTTTACTCCCCTTCCTCTCTTCTCTTCTCCCTTCTTTTACTCCCCCTCCTTCCTCTCCTTCTCCCTTCTCCCCCTTCCTTCCTTCTCATTCTTCCCTCTTACTCCCCCTCCTCCTCTCCTCCTACTCCCTTATCTCCCCCTTCCTCCCTTTCTCCTTCTCCCTCTCTTTTACTCCCCCTTCCTCCCCTCCCTCCCTCCCCACTCCCTTCTCCCTCTTTTACCTTCCCTCCTTCCTCTCCTTCTTTCTCCTACTACTCCCTACTCCGCCCCGTGAATCACGACCGCTATTACTCCCCAAAAGCGGGCAGGAAGTGGCTCGTTTGCGCTCCACTCCGCGCCCTCATCTGCGGACCTTTTCTATGAACCACCTGCGGGTGTGTGTGTGTTTGTTTGTTGTTTGTGTGGGGGGGGTGTGTTTTGGGTGGGGGGAGGTGTTGTTTTTGTTTGTGGGGGGGAGTGTTTGTTTTGTTTGTTGTGGGGGGGAGGTGTTGTTTTGTTTGTTTGTGTTTGTTTGTTTGTTTGTTTGTGTGTGTGGGGGGCAGGGGTTGATTTGTTTGTTTGTTGTTTGATTGTGTGTGGGGGCAAGTCTTGTTTTGTTTGTGGGGGGTGTTTTGTTTGTTTGTGGGAGAGGTTTTTGTTTGTTGTTTTTGTTTGTTTGCAGTTCTTGTTTTGTGTGCTTGTGGGGAAGGTTTGTTTGTTTTGTCTGTTTGTGTGGGGGGACGTCTTCTTTTGTTGTTTGTGGGGATTTTGTGTGTGGCTAGGGGCTTTCTTTTTGTTTTTTGTGGAGGATTTGTGTAGTATTTTGTTTTCGTTTGTTTGTGTAGCGGTCCTGTTTGCAGTTTTGTCTGCCTTGTTGTATCTTGTTGTTTGTTTGGGTTTGTTTGCCGTGTTCGCGTGTCGTGTGTGTGTGTGTGTGTGTGTGTGTGCGTGTGTGCGTGAGTGCGTGTGTTGTGTGCGGTGTGCGTGTGCGTGTGCGTGTGGGTGTGTGTGTGTGGTGCGTGTGGTGTGTGTGTGTTGTGTGTGTGTGTGTGTGTGTGTGTGTGTGTGTGTTGTGTGTGTGTGTGTTTGTGTTTGTATGTTTATTTGTGTAGGGTGTTTTGCTTGTGTTTGAGCTTGTTTGTCTGTGTAATTGTAATTGTTTGTTTGTATTTGTTTAAGTTAAAGTTTTATTTGAGAAAGAGAGATAAGAGAGATAGAATAGATAGATAGATAGAGAAAGAGAGAAGAGAGAGAGAGAGAGAGAGAGAGAGAGAGAGAGAGAGAGAGAGAAGAGGGAGAGAGAGAGAGAGAGAGAGAGAGAGAGAGAGGAGAGTAGAGAGAGAGAGAAAGAGGAGAGGAGACTGAGAGAGAGAAAGAGAGAGAGAGAGAGACAAAGAGAGAGAGAAACTCAAAAACAAACAAACAAGAGAAACTAGAAAAGAGAGAGAAACTAAGAAAAAACAAAAACAAAGAAAGAAAGATCAAGTCGAACGCACAGACGGACAAACCTGACAGACAGACACAGACAAATAGACGAGAGATTGAGACGGAGGTTGCCAATGAGGGACTTCGGTCGGCGGACTTTTAAACATGATCAACTCCAATCCATCTTGTTCTCGGCGCTGGACACGTGCAATGTGCAACCCAAGTCACTGCACATTCGCTCAATATACACACAACGGTATCTTTGCAGTCTCTCAGATTGCAAAACCTTCCATTGTACTTCTTTGCTGTTCACAAATTGAGTGTACAATCGCTGTACATGTGCTTAATGTACGTTCTCAGTGAACTGCTCTCTACGCTCCCTTACTGTGTGTACATAGCGTTTGACTGTGCTTCGCCGCTGTACACACCCTCAGTACACACGTTCTTTGTACACTGTCACTGTACTCTCTAACCCATGCTCACTATACGCTCTGTTAATGCACGCTATGTCACTGTACACTCTACGTGTACAGTAGAACCGGGAAGCACTCACGTCTAGTTCATAAGGACATTGTCTAATATGTATGAGTTAAGTCGGTTTTTGATATAAATGGTATTTTATATAACGTAAATTCACGGTGATGCTGCATGTATACACTGGGCATACATTTGGCATCCACGCACACGCACATACTCACAAACCACACATACACACACACACACACTCACAAAACACCACAAAGTACACACACACTCACAAACACACACACACACACTCACAAAACACACAAGTACAACACACACTCACAAACACATACAACACACATACAAACACACAAACATACTCCCAAACCACACACACAAACGCAAGACTATTCACATATAACCCAAACAACCCACAATACAAAAAAAAAAAAAAAAAAAAAAAAAAAAAAAAAAAAAGCTTTCATAAGCAAGAGCAATATCACAGAACCGTAAATAACCTCGTTACAACGGCCGTCTCTCTCCCTCTCCGAACTCACCCGTTACAGCGACCAATAGCACGACGGCCGCTATCTCCAGAAGCATCTTCCAAGGTCTGCAAAAGATAAGACAGTTGAAGTTGCTTGTATGTGGACGCGCAGTTATGAATTATTAATTGAAGTGATGAATTTAGAATATATGTGTGTATATGCAAATACACACAATATTTATAGATTTATGTATTCATATATATATATATATATATATATAATATATATATATTATATATATATATATATATATTTCACTATAGTTTGTGTATGGTGTGTACATAATATACATAATATATATATATATAGTATGATATATATATTATATATTATGTTATATATATAATAGCTATATATATATATAAAGTATTTTTTAA